TGTCCTCCATGTTGTGGCATCTACTTGGATAGTTTGATTCTTGCTTTCTCTAGAATAGCAGTCAGTAGTACAGAAGCCACAACACTGAAGGGCAAGGCCTAGAATCAAGGTCCACAGCAGAAATATTGATATCAGTACTCTCCAGCACACCCTCTATATTACTACTTAGAGCTGTGCAATATCCCTCATCTATATCCCATGTTCTGTTGCAAAATATACATTTCTAGATTTAGAAATTGTCTTTTGTCTGAAAATTATTCCAGGATGAAGAAGAACTAGAATTTTCCCCAAGAATTTTCTAATGACCCTAACAAAAGGGGTCATCATATCATTTTGTAATTTGGTGGGTATTGAGAATTTAAGCAGCCAAGTTTGTATAATCTCTTCCAAGTTGAGAGTTCTTGGGCACAGGAGTCAGAATGACTCAGCAAGCATACTTGACCCTGAAACTAAAAGGCAGCAGTAGTGGTCTTGATGCAAGATGATGTAGACCACACCCTTCAAAAGTGAGTTTTGACCTGTTTATTTTTACAAATAAGTATGATTGCCATTCTCTGCATAAGAAACATACCAGAAGACTTTCACCTCATCTGATTTCAGACATAGAAGTATGCCTTTCTTTGTCCTCCCCTAAATAATGGGATTCTAGAAACCCCTTAGAATTGGGAATCATTTTAAAAAGAACTATCTCTTTGGAGCAGATAGGAATTACCATCTACCTACTCCATTATGGACCTAGCTGCCTGAAGACATCAGAAACAGTCCCTCTTCTCTGTAAGGACTCTGTCTTTGTTTCTTCAACCCAGTTTTGGGATGGGGCTCTTGCATAGAGATAGCTCTTAACATCTTAGAAATGATTAAGTGAAACATTTTCTCCTAAACTGTAAGAAGCTTTTGGAGTGGAATACTATAAAAGTGTCCTATGGACTGGTTTCAGGTCTAAGAACCCTTAGTTACTGACTCATGCAATAAGTAGTGTTACCTTGAGTGTAAATCAGTTTGTCACTGAACATGAGCTTTTATCCATCCGACTTTAATTTTCTTTTTTTTTGCTTTTTGGGTCACACCTGGTGATGCACAGGGGTTACTCCTGGCTTTGCACTTGGCTCATGCAATAAGTAGTGTTACCTTGAGTGTAAATCAGTTTGTCACTGAACATGAGCTTTTATCCATCCGACTTTAATTTTCTTTTTTTTTTTTTTGCTTTTTGGGTCACACCTGGTGATGCACAGGGGTTACTCCTGGCTTTGCACTTAGGAATCACCCCTGGCAGTGCTCAGGGGACCATATGGGATGCTGGGAATCGAACCCGGGTTGGCCACGTGCAAGGCAAATGCCCTACCCACTGTGCTATTGCTCCAGCTCCCTAATTTTCATAGAAAGACTTTGTTGGGACCAAAGCAATAGGACAGCAGGTAGGGTGCTTGCCTGCATGCAGCCAACCAGGCTTCAGATTCCTTCTCAGAGTCGATGAGAAATATTTCTCAAATATCAGTCAATAAATATGGTGATAGGTGGCTCCTGCTCTAAATGCAAAAACAGCAGTTCCACACTGTCAGAATAGGGGGAAAGAAAGTAACATGACACCAGTAAAGGATCTACCTGCCAGTAGTCAACCTCAAAGACCTTTAAATGTTCAGAGTATCTAACAAAGAATTCTAAAGAACTGGTGGGGGGGGTTAAAAAGGACTCCCAGCTCAGACGTTTATGCTGGAGATCAAACCCAGTGCTCCTATATGAAAAACGTGCATCTCCCTGGCCCCTCAAATGTCTGTTTAAAGGAAGTTCAATGAGCTGAGTGCACAGCCAGGACTAAGTCCTGAACACTGCCGGATGTGGCCCATACACCAAGGTAAAAAAAAAAAAGAAGAAAGACTTTGTTGAAAAAGAAAATAATGCTGCGTTGGTTTACATTTTGCTGCTACATCTATATCGTGTGGTTCAACACTCTGAATAGAACTTTTCTAGAGGTCTGTCACATACCATTTTAGGCCTTCATAATGTCAGAAGTGAAAGGTGAAAGGCCCTGTAGACAGTGACTCTTATTGATTGATTGTCTGAAACAAAAGTGGTCTGGGCCCACCCACAGCGTCAAATTAAATCTCATTTTCATTTTTGCCTCTCTTATAGTCTTAATATGTGACACTGGCACTGTAATTTGTTATTGGAGTCACACCTAGGTGTGAACCACTGGTGGTATGTGCGGACATTGAGGTGTTAAGAAACACCTCTGATACTGCCTCCTGTATCTCTCCCCTTCTTGAAAAAAAGTGTTTCAGATGAACCCAGTCTTGTTGGTGGGTGTGGTGTGGCTATATTAATAGTATGACTAAAATGTAAACACTTATACTCTTGTAAACCATTGTTGCCTCAATTTAAGAGTGAGCACCCCGCCACCCCCCCCCCCCCCAGACAGAGAGACAGAACAGAGGGATAAGGCACTTGCCTTGCACATGGCTGACCCAAATTTGATCCCCAGTACACCATATGGTCCCCCAAACCCACCAAGAGTTATTCCCGAAAGCCTTCCTCAAGTGCTGGGGAAGAAGGTAGTTGGGTAGAGAAGGGACCACTATGACAAAGCTAGTTGGAAATGATCACTCCAGATAATAAAATAAGAACTGCATGCTGAAAATAGATAACCTCTCCCTTGCAAAAGGGAGGAGAGAGATACAGAGATAGAGATGGGGGATGAGGGGGAGAAGAGAGAAGAGAGAGAGAGAGAGAGAGAGAGAGAGAGAGAGAGAGAAGAAAAAGAAGAAAAGTGCCTGCCATCGAGTCTGGTGAGAGGGAAACTGGGAAATGTACACTGGTGAAGGGTCGAATGTTCCAATGCTGTGTGACTGAAACCCAACCATGAACAGTTTTGTAACTTTGTATCTCATGGTGATTTTAAAGAAAAAAAGCAACTCCTGAGTGCAGTGCCAGGAGTAACCCTGAATATTGCTGGGTGTGGCCCCAAAACCAGAACAAAGGAGAAAGCTCCCAAGTAAAACCCCACCCCATGTTTTCTCACCAGACTGTCATCTTTACATCACCACAGCGCAGTGCTTCCTCTATAATAAATACTCTCTCAAAGCTTCTTGTCACAGAATATTTTTTTTGTCTATTGAGCTTTCATTTCGTCAAGAATAGGCAAATCTAATTAATCCATGATGCGTGACCTTTTCCTCTTAACAGAATTCTGAGAAATCTCCACATGAGGTCTGACTCTCTCAAACCTTCCTTCCCCAATTTCTAATTCCAGGAAGCTTGCCAGCAGATGTTTCATTGTGAGTAGGTTGTTTCTAAATGCCATTATTAGAGAGGTTACAGAACAGAAGCTATTGCAACAGCTATTTGTTCGTGACCACCACTTTTCAATGCCTAGTGGATTCTGTGATTCAGAGGCTCGATTTGTCTTCAGTCCAAAATGATTAGCTGCTTTGATGCAGGTCAAAGTGACCCTGGCTTTGTGATGTTTGGATCTGCTTCCCCCCAGCCCCACCCCATTCTATCATGCCACTTTGTGACCTTCTGTACCTAGTCTCTTGCTTAACGGTTTGTTCTAAAATTCTACAGCAGCTGTTCTCAGCTTGTGCTGGCTCCCTGCTTCCCAGGGGTCCAGCCATAGCCACTGTACCAGCTGGTAGCAATTAGTGTTCCCTATCTTGGGAATGCTAGTTTATTCTTTGGTAAGTTTCTTTGGTAATACTTGATTAACAACATTTTGTAGGTGCCCAGTTCTGCTTATTCTAAATACTTTAAGGTTACTTCATTCTTAAAAAATGACTCTAATTAGCTCCTATTTTACAGAGGAGGGAGCATTTCAGTTGCAGAGAGCTCAGTTTATCTCACATAACCCAGGGAAGTATAGAAGTGGCTCTGCTGGTCTGCGAAAGCTCCAGCTCTTCCACTGCCGTGTTTTGTTTCCCCCAAGGAGGCTTTGTCTCTGCCAATTGTTTGGTTTCCTGCCTCTCCTGAAAATCCTAGGCTAGTCCACACCTTCCTAGAGCCTACCTCCTTTCCCTAATGTCCAGTAAAATGAGGAACTAGAGGCGGTTCATAAAATCATAATGGCCCGTGCATTTAGGTAAGCCAAACATACAAAGGATCATCACTTATAGTTTTTACTTCACAGTAAAAAAAACACCAAATAACCATGGAATATGATGCCTGATATGAATGAGTCTTTGGGGTTTTTATTTTGTTTTGGAACACCCCAATAGTACTCAGTGCTTACTCCTGGCTCTGTGCTGAGGGATCACTCCTGGCTCAGGGTGTTGGGGGTTGAACCTGGGTCAGCTGTGTGCAAGCAAATGCTCTCCCCACCGTACTATCCTTCCAGCCTCTGAAGGAGTCTTATTTGTAAATAACCCAAGCTCAGTTCGGGAGTAAAAGACTGATCAAACATGTAGTTTATTGTAACTAATTGACCAAATTCTCTCTTTTTTGCTCCCTTGCATTTCCCTTGTGAGTATTGCCAGGTGACCAGGGGTTATGCACACATTTGACTATTGTGCTCATTAAGTGTCATCACGTGCTCACTCTGGGTGGAACTCCTTTAGCTGTGGTGCTTATGCACATTCTGATCGTAGTACTTACCAGGGCATGATTGTGGTGTTTACCAGATACTCACCAGGGTTTGCATTCCTGGCTATAGAATTTACACATCTTTAGATGCAATGCTTACCAAGGGTGCCAGTGTTATAATTGATAGAGGCAGAGTTTGCACACACTCAAAGGTGGTACTATGGAGGTTGCACATTGGTTTGGATGCCTGGGATATTAAATGGTAGAGCTGTTGACTCTGTATTTTGTGTATGTGGGTGGCACTAGGGATTTTACTCTTGGCCTCATGCTTGAAAAGGCAGGTGCTTGGCTCCTGAGTCAGCCCCAAGTCCCCTAAATTTTTTTCTTATAACTGGAAGTGCTTTGGTCTGTATTTTAAAGAGTAACTAATATCTACAGTGTTATTTACAAAACACTTTTTAAACTCACACTTTTTCTTATTTACGCAGAATTATTCCCCAATGGATGTTCAGCCTTCAAGAAAATTACACCCAATATTGATGAAGAAGGAGCTATGAAAGAAGATGCTGGAATGATGGATGTCCACTATAGTGAAGTAAGATTTCAGGGCTTGTGTTTTTTATAATTTTAACTTTTTAAATTTATTTTGATTAAAAATGACTGTATCTTACTTAATCTGATATGGTGATAAGCATTAAAACAGTTCAGGGAAAAGGTGTGCCATAGATGCAGCCCTGTCTCTGAACTGTTCCTATCCTCTGGTTTTAGAAATGCAGCATTTATCTTCTTCAGATTACCCTGCTTATAATAGAGCAGGGTTGGGGAAAATTACTGATACTTTAGAAAAACCACTGTTAAAAATTCAATAGTTAAGGAGCCAAGGAGTTAATTCAAGGGCTGGAACGTGTGCCTGATGTGCATGTTGCCCTGGGTTTGGTCCCTGGTACTAAATGGTCACTTGAGCATTGCTGGGTATAGTATTAGTGACTCCCAACACTACTTGGGAGACCTCCTCCAAATACAAATAAAGCTGTAATAGTTAGCAATATGATCATGTATGCTTGGAAAGGGGAGAGAGGCTTTCCATAATGGTATAGGGGATCCAGGACCACTGCTGGTGGATACCCAACCTAACAGTGCAGACCTGAAGATTCAGTGCCTGGTTCAGTAATGTGGTACTGCTCAGGGCATTCAGTACTAGGGACCAGCAGGACCACACCCAGCAGTGATCAAGGGTCATGTGATACTAGATATTTGAACTTGAGACCTGTGCTCTACTTACTCCCTTGATATATTTCCCTGGCCCCAGTAGAATTTACTCAAGTTTTTAATGATTGAAATGCTGTGGTTCACTATCAATAATGGTTTCTCATGCTAATAATTACAACACCATACCCACCTCCTTCTCTTTCTCAAGTACCACAACACCCCTCTTTCTCATTTTTCCCAAACTCAATTTTGTGGACCAGTTCTCCCATTATGTTGCCTTTGGCCCTTTGTTGCTACCTTGCTTTGTGTCTTTAAGTCCGTTCCATATATATGAGATCATTTTGCATCTCTCCATTCCTTCTGATTGCGTTCACTCAGAGTGATATCCTCAAGTTCCATCCATGTTGCTCTAAATTGAATGATTGTGTTATTTCTTAGAGCTGTATAGTATAACATTGTGTATATATACCACAACTTCTTGATCCATTTATCTGTAGTTGGGTATTTGGTGTTCCATATCTTGGTAGGCTGCCTGAGAATATACTTTTTAAAATGTTTATGAAAATGGAAAATTTCTGGACCAGAGAGATAGTATAGGATTGTCTTGTGCAGGGTTAACTTGAATGCAGTAATCAGTTTGATCCCTGACATCACATAGTCACTCAATCAACACTGGCAGTGATACTTAGCACAGAGCCTAGGAGCAGCCCCTAAGCAATGCTGGATGTGGCCCAATTCCCTCCAAAATAAAGAAAATATAAAGAGAGAATTTCCGGGTCTGGGGATCTAGCTCAGTGGGCTAGAGAGCATGCTTGCAAGTAGAAGATCCAGGTTCCATCCCCAACATTGCATGGTTCCCTGAACACCACATGGGGAATAGTCCCCAAGCACCTTCAGTGTGGCCCCAAAACCAAGGTAAATGAAAAAATTCTACCCTGAACTTGATAGAAAATACCTGTAGTTGCCAATCAATGTGTAATCATAGAGCATTGACTTATCAGATAAGACTCTGGACTTGGTGAGATAAGAGCAAATTAAACAGACAGGATTGGTCCTTGATCTCTAGTGTCTAATGAAAACCTACAAAAAATAAAAAATGGATTAAATGTAAAGACAGGCATTTAAAAATATAGACATTTCCCCAAGTGTGTGGGAGTCACAGAAGTTAAAAGATCCAGAAAGATCTTCTTAGACAAATAAAGTTTGGCAATCTCTGACTAGAGTATGTTCCCTGCAAAGTGAGAGATGAGCAATGTCTTGAAGTTGAGGTGTAGAACAGAGGTGGTACCATTAGAGCCTATTGAATAAGGATGCTAGGAAGGTATCCTAGCAGTGGAGAAGAGCAGTGTCAAAGGCAAAATTCTGGGGAAGTGTAAGGTATGTCGGGTAGCTCCTTTTGACTAATGAATGCAGTCGTTTCACAGAGAAGAGTAATTGTTGGGTTCAGATTTTAGGTTGCTTTGAACAGTGGGGCTTTATTCCTTAGAAAATTAAGTTGCTGTCAAAGTATTTTGAGCATATTAGTGACAAGGTGACAGCAAAAAAGGTGGGAGATTCATTTGGTGGTAATTGGAGAAAAGTACTAGAAACTGATGAAGGTGGACTGAAGAACAGGTTGATCCCAGAATCGAGGCATGCATGAGGCATACAGGGCCTAAGACTGTGGAGTGACAGATTCTGGGAATAGTGTGAAGAAAGGAGAAAGACTTAGTGATCTATGAAAGGTGAAGACTCAGAAATAACTCCAAAGGTAAGCGAGATGGCTCAGTGGACTGAAGTTCATGCTTTGCATGTAGGAGACCTGGATTTGATCCCCAGCATGACACTGGGGTTAGTAGTCCCTGAGCACCACTGAATGTGTCCCAACCATTGTAAAAGGTTGTAAATTGTAAATTGTCCCCTCAAAGTAAAAGGAAGCTTTGATGTCTTTGGGGTTTTGGTATTGCCAAAAATGATGGATGGATCAGATCACTTCATAGGGAGAATGATGAATATAATTTTGATGTTTGTGAAATTTGAAGTTAAAGGTTATGGAAATAGAAGTAGCCAGCCAGCCATTGGAAAATAGGAACTGAAAAGGATCAGGGTTGGAAATCCACATCTGGAAGTCATAACTGTGTGAGAACCATAGCAGAGTGTGGGTAAGATAGCAAGAATGGGGAAATATGCTCTGTACCATACCGGAGTTCACAAGTCAAAAATGGAAGAACAAAATCATGGGGTAGGGAGCAGAGAAAGGAAGAAAGAAGGGAAGTTTAGGTGTACCCACCTCCCTCCCCCAAGAACCTATCCCTCCCTTTCAAGTCTCCTCCTCCCACCAACTTAGTTGTATGGATCAATTCTCCCATTGTGTTGCTTTGGCCCTTTGCTGCTACTTGCTGTGTATTTCAAGTCCCACATATGTGAGAGAGCATTCTATGTTTATCCCTTTCCTTCTGACTTCAATCAGCATCATATCCTCTAATTCTATCCATGTTGCAGTAAAGTACATGATTTTTTTTCTGTCTTAGAGCTACATAGTTTTGCATTGTGTTTGTATACCATAACTTCTTGATCTGTAGTTGAGCATTTGGGTTGTTTCCATATTTTAGCTATTGTACTTCATGCAACAATGGACAGAGGTGTACATATAACATTTCAAATGAATGATTTTGTATTTTGGGAGAATAGATGCCAAGACGTGGTATTGCTGGGTTGTATGGGAGTTCTATTCCTTTTTTTCCCAATGTACATATTGCTTTCTATAAGGGATAAATCAAACATTATTCCCAACAACAGCGTGTGAGGGTTCCTTTCTATCCACATCCCCATCAGCGCTGGTTCTCCCTTTGTGTGAATATGTGTGTGTGTGTGTGTGCGCACACGCTTTCATTTTCTTGGCTAAATACCTAGGGAAAATGCTGGATTCAACAGAAATCACGGATTGCAATTAATAGAAAATTGCCTGCTGGGGAAATAATTCAGTGGTAGAACACTTGCCTTGCATGCATTCTATCCCTGGCACCACAAAATAAAATGGAAAAAAAAGGTTAGGCTCTTGCAAATAGATGACTCTAGTTTGATCCCAGGTACCACATACAGTCTTCTGAGTCCTGTCAGGAGTTATCTCTGAGCACAGAGCCAGAAGTAAGCCCTGAGTACAGCTGGGTGGGACTCAACTTTTCAAAAAATCCTTGACGTTTCTTTGATTCATTGAAGAGCTTGGTACCTTGATCATTTTGCAATAATGTATGTGTGAATTATTCTATACTATTCTGAACCACTAAACTATTTGTTCATTTTAATCCTTCATGTACAGTACACACTGAACCCATTGAGCTATCTCTGTAGCCCTATAGCTTGCTTTTTTATTTTTTATTTGCTATTTCAATCATAAAAGAGTGGAATTAATTTTTGTATACTGATCTTACAGTCTATAGCATGGCTAAATCTGCTCATTAGTTGTATGAGTTTGTATAGTCAATACAATTTTCTACACATTGCATTAAAGAGTTGTTTTTTAATTTGAAAAATTTGTTTTTATTATAATTTAGGTAACATTGTTACAATAGTGTTAATGTTTATTGTATATAGTGCATGCACATACACCACCACCAAAGTACCCCAAATCCTCCACCACTGCCTGTGTATTTCTTCTAGTCCCTTCTTCTCCCTCAAATCTTTCCCACCACTGCTTTCATAATCTCAGTTTATAATTAAAGGTCTGAAGTATGTCATCATTCAATACATTTTATTCTCTTGTTTTATTTCTCCATATGCCATAGATGAGTGATATCTCTGGCATTTGTCAGAAAGTTGTCAGTGTTTTATGTTTGTCAGTGTTTATGTTGTTTTTTCTCGTGGCCTTGTTGCATTGGCTAGGATATTTAGCATAATCATGACTATAGAAGTGGCAAGATTAGATATTCTTAATTTTGCCTCTGTGCTTAGGAGAAGGGTATGTAGTCTGCACATTTTTTGGTAGGTGCACTTAATCAGATTGAAGAAAGTCTCTTCTATCCCTTGTTTCCTTTTTAATATGAATGGCATTTTAAAATATTTTCTGTCTTGAGATACTTTTTATTCTCTGTATGTGATGTATTACATTGATTTTTTTCCCTAATTGTAAACCAGTTTTTCATTTTCTGGGACATACCCCATAATACATAATAATTTTTTTTATTTTCTAAAAGTTTCTCTTTCATTGTTGCTAGAAATTTTAATAATGATGTTTGATGTTAAATACAAATCTTTTATTCAAATCACAGTGTTTATTAAACAACTAGTGTGATTGCCACTATACTAATTATTGAGAAACCAATATGAATAAAATATTTCCCTTCTCTTGAACAATCATAACCTGCTTGACAAGTCAGATGCATAATTACTGAACAAATAATCTAGTAA